AAGTGAGGGCGAGGGATGGGCAGCAGCGCCCCACTTAAATATCTCTAAAGCTTGATTGCGGTTGCCAATTCGCCAGCCAAACGTGGCAACTACTGGCAAAATCCCTCAAGGGGAGGCTTATGTTCAGCAGTGGATAGTTAAAGGCTAATCTGATGATAATGTTGAACAAACGTACGAACTATTCAGTTTGAGTGATTGGCGTGTAAAATACCGTGTCTTGGGTTTTTTTATTTATAAAAATGAGTTATCTTAAAAAGTAAATACACAAATTAACTGGCAACACCAGCTGTAAGACTAAACGGATCATCAACTCGTATCCAGTTACTTGTATTGAACAATGTGGATGCTTTCAATCACGCATGATGGATGACTCGTACAAAAGTTGTACGCCTACAAAAATATATTTACCGGCACACATATGGGAAATTGGGAATATAGAGAGAATATAGTACTCGGAAAATATATAACTCGATGTGTGATATCTGAGAAATGATATCAAGATTTTTAAATCATAAACACCTACGATAAAACATTATTGATATTTTGTTTCTTTTTAGTTGAAGAGATACCGATTTTTACACGTATTATATTTAATTACCATCATCATATCAGCTGTTAATTGTTCACTGCTGAGCATAGGCCTTCTACATTTCCTGTTGTTGCCACGCTTAGCAGGCGGGTGACAACTGCAGTTAGGCTTTGGTTATGTTTTAAGAGGGACGCTGCTGCCCATCACTCGACCAATATGTTAGACATTTCTATACCTCTACACGGCATATATTTTTACATTTTCTTTTAAATATTTCTAAGCATAGAATTAGAGATGAATATATTTTTTTAAATTAATTTAGCAAAGCACACTAACAGTTTACATATATATATATATATATATATATATATATATATATATATATATATATATATATATATATATATATTTATTTGTTACCTTATAGCGCCTTACTGAACCTGCATTAACCAATCACTATGAAATTTGGTATACACATACTATATGGGATGGTGAAACATATAGGCTACTTTTTGTGCTTTTCAGTAAATATATCCCGGTCACGTGGACGAAGTCTCTGTTAAAAGCTAGTATTAATATTTAATATTATTATTAAATAATGTTAGATTTTTAATCTAATAAATAAATACTGCCAAATAAGAATGTTAATATAAGCTTCCATTTTCAAAATTCTGTACCCTACAGTCGAGTAAATATTCCATAAATAAATGTTTTTGAGTATATTTTTTTTAATAGGTTAAGGAAACGTACATAATATGGGTTATTCTAATAATCATCATCAGCATATTAGGCGTTGACTGTCCATCGCTGAACACAGGCATCCTCCATAAAGGGGTTATTCTTAGAATAGATTGCCATTATTATTTTACTAATATTAATTACGATTAATAACAGCTAGAAAATTAGTGATAAAATTTCATACATCAATTGCGTGTGCGTGTGACATTTTTAATATTAAAATATTTTATTAGGATACCTCATAAAATGCTTGCCAAAGAATATTAAAAATGTAATAAGATGTTGACACATTTTGTACGCTTGGTATTTGCTTGTGAATTATAATGCTCTTTTCTATTTTTAGAGTCCCGCATCAGAATAGACGAAAACAAAATCCTTGTAATTATAATCACTTTGTGGTCAAGACGTCTCTTCGAGGCCCTATTTTTCTAAAATGGTTAAAGGTATCCAGATAAAATCTAATACTGACAGATAAAATACAAATTAATAAATAAAGTTACGTGCTTCGGTTATCTTAATTCTAAAAATTTTTAATTAGAAAAAAAATGTCTAAAGTTGAATAAATAACTCAGTACGGCATTCGCCAGTACAAAGTACAATAACAGAAAGATAATAAATTGAAAAAGTACAGTAGAATATTTATTAAGGCCCGTAACTGAGTGATAATAACATTTTTTTTTACTGGGTCATAATGTAATGGTTTCCCCGCTTGCGCTAACAGTATACGCTGACGGGGTACCAGTGTAGAATGATAGGTGAGAATGAAAACAGGTCAGTTAGCGCACAGTTATGAAATACACCTGGAATTCAGCATGATGGTTTACAGGAGGGACCACGTGGAGGTTGACTTGATAGGATATATTCCTAGCAATGGGACTGGCAGTCCGCATTACTAATAATCCCTTCCTCCCAACATGGAATTTATGATCGTAATTCTGTTTTGTGAATAAGTATTTTTTTCTTATAAATATATAATTTTATATAAAATATAAATAAAAAGTACACGGAACCCTCTGGATGCAAGTTTTACTCCATTTTTATTTTTTATACTTATAAATCTTTTTCAATATACGTATAAGTACCTATGTAGTAAATACACTCTATATTTGTACTCCAAGTTATGCACAATTTTAATATTTTTTTAACGATTTCATAAAATGAGGTATTTAAACTTTATGTCAATATTATAATTGTGAATAAACTGGACATGAAGTAGACAGTGTTTTTTCAACGGATTACAAAATGAAGGAGGTTATTAATTCGGTTATATTTTGTTTTATGTTTGTTATTTTCTAACTCCGTCAGTTCTAATTCGATTTGCAAAAGTGGGAGGGGGGACCCCCTGGAAACCATCGTGCTGAATTCCAGGTATAGTCATCACGATGGCCTAACTGACTTGCCTTTTCATTCTCACCAATTATTTTCACTGGTGCTCCACCAGTGCATACTGTTAGCGCAAGTGGGCTACTATTCCATTATCATCCATTAAAAAAACATGGATTTTATTATTTTTATTGGGAGACGGGCTTTTCTAAGCACAAAATCCTGTGACACCGCGACCTTTCCATGATCTTTTGTGCTCGCCCTTTTTAAAGTTCGCTGCTAATTCCTATCATTGATAGAAATTTTAAGATGTTTTTTGTAGCGATGTTTTTTTTTAATTTTCTCAGAATATAAAGTGTATTTAGAAAGGAAACATGTTATTTATATATGAGTGGGCTACAACTACAAATTAACTACTGTTTCTTCCTCATTGTGACAAAATCTGCAAACACTTTTTGGGCATAAGCCTAGTTGGGCTATGTACTCGTTTAGATTGCATAGTCCAGTGAGAGCGTTTGTTAATAGACACATATTATATATTTATATGCTTTTGTACATTCACTTATAGATATTAGGTTATAACAAAAATGTACACAGGTGGACTTTCAGTCAACCTTGAGAAGAATTATTTTACTCAAAAGAGTTAATTTCTTAGAGTAATTTTCTGAAAATCCTTTAATCAGGGGTTTTGAGTGATTTAATCCAACATGGATATGTGGATATATTCCTCTGAGTAACATTTGTGGTTTTTACTAAAATGTAGAATGAAATTTTGTATATGATTGTTTTGGAACATTTTATTAACAGTATGTACTCTTAAGTAATGTATATTTAAAAAAAATATTATTATTAAGATCACACTAGTTCTATTTTTAATTCTCATCCTATAATACAACTCTTTATGTCTGATATTATGATTATAAAGAAAAATATGTCTAAATATTTCATTGAACAATATAAGACAATGAAACTCATAAAAAAAATTTACTACGAAATTGCGGTACAATTGTTTCTTCTGCCAACACATTAGCGCCTTTCCATCGGTGTAATTATCTCACTTTTTAAATACACGTCACAGGTAGGTAGTAAAAAATATAATAATGACCGATATTGTAAAGAGGACATATACGAACGATCCACTTAGTATTGTGAAAAACCACTGAGCTCCGGTGTGAAGTGTTTTGGCTCGAAGCCAAATAGCAACAGGCTGACCGCCCTCGTCTCCTATGTCGTAGTGTTGTTTCATTCCCAAATTCGTATAGGTAGCTATGTTTCAGTCACTCGTCTATATGCAACTAGTTTTTTTCCGCGTCTCCGTCTGCGTGACCGAGATATATTGCTTGATCGGTATAAAAAGTAGTCTATGTCCTTCTATATTACAAGTATATGTGTGAAAATTTTCATAATGTTTGTTAAAGGCATTAGAATTAAGAATTAATCTATGGATCAATTAAATTCTTTATTTAGAAGAATTATATGTTATCATGATGACACAATACAGAAATATATCGGGGGGAAGGGATTGTTAGTAATGGGGAGTTTAGTCCCCATTGCTATCAATATACCCTATCAGGTCGACCTCCACGCGGTTCCCCCTGAAAACTATCGTGACCAATTTATCACTGAATTCGTCACAATGGGCTAACTGACCTGCCTTTTCATCCTCACCTATCACCGCTCGCTGGTACCCCTCTAGTGTATACCGATAGCGCAGGCAGGGTAACCATAACATTTTCACGCATAAAAAAAAATATAGAAATATAAAAACTACATTCCTATACAACAATACTATCAAACAAACATCTACATAGCTATCAAACAAACTCGCTTCCGACGATGAAAGGTTGAAAACAAATTTCTGTTTATTGTTTTTGCCTCAATTCTTTCTATGATTTTAGATAAAATCAAATGGTCCCATAATCCGTTGTTTTTCTGCTTGTTTTTGTGTGCATTTTACATAATATTTTCGCTCATTTTAAATTAGTATTGATGTTATAAATATTTTGTAATTAATAGGGTCATTTACTTCTATATTTATCACGTCACATGTCACGAAAATTTAAAAGTTATTCTTCCTAACAAAAAAAAAGAAACAATATTATTTTCTTATTTAACTAATTGTAATAAGTATTTTTAAAATTTATATGGTATATTTAGGAAATAAAGTAATGTAATACTAAATATGGGTTGAGCATTACGTTATTTGTGATGTTGCTGCTATATAAATATAAATATTACTTTTTGTTTTATTTTTTGTTGCTTTTTTTTGTTTTTCATTCTTTTATCTCTTTCACTGTGTATTATGTGTATGTTTTTATTGTAACTTGTGTGCTGTAAGTAATGTAAATAAATTATCTATCTATCTATCATAAAAGCCGGCAACGTACAAACAACTTCTATCGTGTTGCAGGTGTCCATGTGCGACGGTAGCCGCTTTCCAGGTAGACCGTCTGCTCCTTTGCCTCTAACAATAAAAAAAATTAAGATTGTAGAATTTTGTCAAGAGATAGTATATATATTTTAATAAAAAAAAAATCAAGATCGTTTATCGAATACTACCGACTCTCCCGGGCATCGCACTTGTTCAATTAATTACAAAACATAATTAAACCTATTTATTTATAGAATAGCGTAATTACGATGTATCGAGAGTATATTTTTACGAGATAATAATCTTCCGTAAAAATATCTAAATAAGATTTACAATATATTAAAATTCATCGAGTGGTTTAAAAGAAGTAAATAAATAAAAAAAGACTGACTTTGTTAGTATTTAAAGAAGAAAAAGCAGATTATACCTACCATTAGCGTATTTAAAGGGCGGAAGGAAAGTAGGTTGTGCCCACCCCAGAATTACCTGAAGCCCACCTCAGTATAAGGAGCGTAGTTTTCAATTTTAGCTAAAGACAAGTCTAAGTATATATATGTGTCTTTTATTAATTAATCAAGCTCCGTCTAGAAAATACACAGTTATTTTTAACTAATGTGGCTGTTATCGTACACTACCCTACAATTGTAATTTTTTATGGTTCCAATAAATACTAAAAAAAAAAAAAATCTTAAATACATCAATGGTGAAGATGATATCAGCCGTTAATTTTTCACCTTCTGGGGGGGTTTTGTCATTAGTTGTCATGCTTGGCAGGTGGATTGGCAACCACAGTTAGGCTTTCGTGCTGTTTTAAAAGAGACGCTGTTGCCCATATCTTGACTAGTAAATTCATAGGAAAGGAAGGGATTACCTATTCTATGCTGGAACCATACGCCAATAATACCGATATTAGAAAATTTAAACAAATATGGAAAATTTTAGTAGTTATTCTGTAATATCAAAGTTCGACAACGAGTAGGCATATTGGCTTCGTTCCAAAGAGCAACAGGCTCTCGTCTCAATTGTTGGTTGCCCGATATTGTAAGCTATATTTTATAAATAATTAAGTTAGTATTCGTCCATAGAAAAATATGCAGGAAAGTTGATAAAATAGAGGCCTATGTTCAGCAGTGGACAGTTAATGGCTGATATGATGAACTTGAAACTAAAAAAAATCCTATACAAAATTTATACTAATGTACTTATTAAGCTGTCGCTGGAAATTTGGGTTTTGTTGGCATAAAAGTATATGAAAAATTCCATAGCAAAGTATGGAGTACATGCATAGTTTATAATAGTAAATTTTAAATACACAATCGGGACTTAACACAATGTAAAAACCGTGTAAAAGTCGTGGTCACAACATAGTGAAACGTCTAAACAACGGCAATAAAGAAGAAGGTATGTTGGTATTATTAATCTGTAAAGTCTTTTGAATCGCGTTAAGTCTCGATTGTATATTTAAAATATGTATAAACAATGTGAAAGTTCAAAATCAACTATTAGTAGAATTACTCATATCTGCAAGGTGTTCTACGGTTAACGTTCCAGCTCATACGCAAAGCACTTTTTAAATAATCAATCATAAATATTAAGAATTATTCAATTGTGTTTTTTTATTTGCTAGATAAATGCGACGTTGCCATACTTGAAGGCTTTTAACAATCTTAGAATGAGTTTTTAAAGAATTTTGTGATAAAGAAAACTAAATTATTTAATTGGTTTTTGCTATTTATTTTATTTGTTATTATAGTAAAATGTACTAAATAATATAATATAAATGCGAAAGATTCTAAAGATGTTTGGATGTTTGTTGAACAATTACGTTTGATGGAGTCGAATAAAATTTCGTACAAAGAATGCGTCCTAGATTAACATATTAGATACATTTCAACCTAATCCAATTGAGCACAGCCATGCAGAACAACTAGTAAATTATAATCTTGTTATTGAAATGATTTGGTTTTCATTATGATTTGGATAAGAAACCAATTTCAGATAAGTACCTATCAGTGTTGGCGCGTAGCCAGCTTTGAAAGTCGTAGTGGTGAAAATTGTTTGTGTGTATGTATACCATGAAAATGTACAGTCTTCCTGATATTATGTACTAGTGCTCCCGTTAAGCATTTGTGTTGTAAGTGACCTAAATAACTGAAGAGCCAAATGGCGTAGATTGCGATTAGTATCTTAAAGTGCCTATTAATAAATTTAACAACATATTATTAGTACATTGAAACAACTAATTTCAGAAGTAGAAATCCCAATAAAATAGACTACTTATACATAGCATATCAAGTTGAAACGTACATTAGATTTTAAGTTAGATTCAATAATACAAAATACACAGGAACAAATATACAGGCAGACAAACGGTCAAAATAAAAAAAAAATACTAGTTAATTCTTATTAAGACCTCTTAAATTATTATTTTTGTTTCAAAATTCACATCGTCTAGTTACAACTTCATTATATTAGGAAGTATATTTAATGCTAGTACTTTCTTTGACTACGTACGCGTAATAGTATTTTTTTTCAAACGGAATTTCAATAAGTTCCACTATTAAAAATAGATGGCGCTTTCTAGATTTTTTTAGCTTACGTTAAATATGCAATATCTCCAATTACGAACCGATTTTGTTAATTTATTTTAAAATAAACAATGCTCGTCCCGTGTTCATTGTGTTACCATTGAAATTGCCTTTTTTTACGGAGCAAAATCAACTTGTCAAATAACCGAACTGTCGCATTTATTAAATAAATTGAATGAACTTTTTTTTACTTTCACAAGTCAATTATCCGTCGTCTTGAAAAGACTACGTGGGACGTAGAGTTGAACAATGGCCTTTACGTGAAATAATCGAGTTCAAGGATTCGTATTGGAATTCATCTTAAAATGGCTCAGAGTCGAAGCTATTATATTATTCACTTCAAACACGTGGTCCTACGGGTTTAGATTTTGAGGCATCACGTTACAAGGTATTTCAAAGTGGTTAAGGTTTACTTTAAACATTTCGTATTTAAAATAGGTCCCAAAATGAGAAATGAGAGTACTGGAGCTTTTATATATTTATATAAATGAGGTGTTTAAATTAAATTATCTTATTTCTGAATATAAACAATAAACAAGTGTAAAATAAATATGACAAAACTGTAAAAAAAATTACTGTTTTGTAATTTTAATGGTTGATATTAGAATGGTAACCATAGGTACGCTATTAGTTTAGCATTGGTGGTTCAGTGAGATATAATAAGTAAGAATGAATTCAGGTTAGTTAACCGATTGTGACGAATTCATAAGGAATTAACCACGATGATTTACAAAGAAAAAGGGAAAGATATATTTCTAGCAATGAGACCACTGTTCTATGTTCTAATAATTTTCTCTGATTTTTTATGCGACTTCATAAGGTCAACTTATATTTTATAAATCAAGAAAACCAAGAAATCACAACAAATTAATATAAGGGTTTAGTACCAAATAAATTGGTCGAACTGTACGTGCTAAGAGACGATGACCTCGAATGGACGTCTAGCCAAATGTCGGCATGCCGATGCGGCACGTCCCTACAGACAAACAGCTCAAGTATACTCGAACGTTTGGGTGTGTAGCGCAACACTAACAAGGCGGCTACGACGTAGAAATACAACGTAATCACACACGCGCACCTGTTTGCATGTAACTGGTGTTGTAGGCAGAAAACTCGTGCCAATTTTCACCGTTCATAGCAAGTGTCGATTGTGGATTTTCTGTATGTAATTTCAAATTGCCTAATTGGTTTTATGTGTTACTTTGTTCGTTTTACAACACTTTATTTTAATTATTAAGACTATTTGACTACATATGTCATTATTATAAATTAAGAGGGATATTTAGAAATTGTGTACTTTCTAATTTATGTCATCATCAGATTGGCCGTTATCTATCCACTGTTGAACATAGGCCTCCCCATAGACTACCATAAGGAATGGTCTCGAGTCACTTACATGCACTTAATATGAGATTATATATACTTCTATCAAAATGTAGTTTGAATGCCTATTTACTAGTATATTTTATATAATGTTTATTAAAATTTTTATTTCAAACTATAAATAAAAAAAAAAAATTACAGCTTCGGAATTGAATTTATTTTAAAATACAATAATATTATCATCCTTCATTTTTCGTTTTCAAATTTTAATTATTTTATTGCAAATTCTAAATCTTTAATTAAAAAATATTGTAAATTCCATGTGAGTAAACATGGTAAACAATAATAATATAAACAATAGATAATCAATATATCTGCAAACAACAATAAAAGTAATCCTGTTAAAAATAATATTAAAAAGGTGTTAATAAATTAATTAATTTTCAATAAGACTACGTGAAGTGATAATTAAGTATACACGTGATTCATTTATAACCAAAAATGAAAGTACGTAATCCTTTTCAAGACGATATTAAAAGACACTTTTTTCAAGAAATACTCGTAGTATGTACGAAAATAAGGGTACGTGACTAATAAGAGATGGTCGGGATAACCGAACGATATTACCTCCTATTGGATTATCTGATATTTATAAAATCCGCCCTAGAAAAGAAGTAGGCTTGTTTCAACTTAATCTGCGAACTAAGGATTCAATAAACATTTTTCTATAATGCTATGAGATATTGAGTATAGAATGGTAAATGTTTCGATGGTATTTGTTGGTTAGATCATCAATTAAACTCTTTTGAAATACTTCAGTTGTATCAAATGTACTATTCTAATAGAAATAGTTACAACTGTGTATTACTATAATACTATTACTATGATATCGTAAGGAGGGCGTGGGATGGGCAGCAGCGTCTCTCTTAAAACATCTTCAAAGCCTAACTGTGGTTGCTAATCCACCCTTCAAGCATGGCAACTACTGGCAAACACCAGTACTCACTTGGAAAGTCCCAAGAGGGAGGCTTATGTACAGAAGTAGAAAGTTGGAGGCTGATATGATAATTATAATAGAGAAAAGGTATTTGCGGTTCTAAAGTGAATAGAAATTTAGTGTTGGTATCTATGAGTTGATACTCATTCAAAACTTTTTTTTTATAACACAGGGGCCAAACGAGCATGCGACTCACTTGATGGTAAGTGACTACCGCCCCCCATAAGCATCCGCTACACCAGAGGAATCGCAAGTACGTTACCGGTCTTTTAAAAAGGATTAAGCTCTTTTCTTGAAGGTACGATACGACTTCGTAGGTATCGGTTCGGAAATACTGCTGTTGGAAGTTGATTCCAAAGTGTGGTTGCGCTTGGAATTTACATGTGTGCGTAACACATACATCGAGAGGGAGGGGGAGATTGTTAGTAATGGAGTCTAACTGTCCCATTTTCATCCTTTAAAAAAGAAGAATAATAACTATAGATCGATATTGTCTTATTGTCATCATCGCTTTAGTCACAGACGTCCACTATTGTAAATATTCCGTGAATTCAACTTTCCTATGATCCACCCTGAAAAACATGTTAAATTCCAGGTGTACTCATTACGACGGCCTAACTGACCTGCTTTTTTATTCTTACCAATTAGCTCTCACTGGTGCCCCGTCAACGTTTACCGTTAACGCAGATGGGAATGCCATTCCATTATTTATTAAAAATACTACCACAGATATTGTATTGTAATTTATCTTTATTTTACATAATGTACATTGGATGCATTAAAAAGATCTAATATGCAATGGCAGACTCGTTCCATAGAGGGACCTCTTACAGCCAATATTTGAGAAATTGATAAAATAATATTATAATACTGGTTTGTGTTTCTTTTTTTTGTAGCACCAGTGAATACAGGAAACTCCATTAAATGCTACGAGTACTATCGATTTTCTAACTTTCTACGAAATGTTTGACGTCACCGCTCGCAGTTGCTACTTCTTTTGGAAACCCTACACCCGGGCTCGGCTGTTTAAAACTAATCTTCTTTTTTGTTTCATATGTATAATAAAATAATACTTTTTTTTATAAAGAAAAATGTTAAATAAATGTATAACAAAATAAAGAAGCTATGTCATCAAACGTATTTAATTAAAAAAAAATATATAATATAATAATAAAATAGAAGCAGCATACATTTAATAAACAGCAATCGTCGTTTAAAAATATGGACAGAAATATAAGCGTCACATTAACTCATGTGTTGCCATTCTTAAGAAATATATTCTTAAGAGTATAAATATTATGCGTCCGTATATATTAATTTTACTATATATATATATATTCTACCATTTAAATCGAAACACAGTCATGCAAACGTACCTATTTGTTGATAGAAATACTGGTGGGATAGAGGTATGTTTACAAATTTTGGAAAAAGTTGTCAATAATAAAATTATTAATTAAACTTACACATAATAATAAAATCCAAATCGTCATCATTTCCACTGTTACTGTCCACTGCTGAACATAAGCCTTTCTCATAAGGGGAGTTTTGCCAGTAGTTGCCACGTTTGGCAGGCGGATTGGCAACTGCAATTAGGCTTTTAGAGATGTTTTAAGATAGATGCTGTTGCCCATCCCTTTTTAACATTAAGTTCCCTTAGTCGTTTGCTACGATATCCACAGGTAAGGAAAGGGTTGGCTATTCTACGCCGGGACCACACGGCCGTATTAAGAATTTACATAAGTGACAATTATCTGACAACACTCATGAGTGTTTCAACAATATTTATGTTTCCTTTGCCAAGAGCCGGCGGTGGGCGGGTTACAGTGGTAATCAATTCACTTTTTAGTGGACAATCTCAGTTGAATGCCTCGGCTACTTGTAATAAAATTGTTGACTGCGCGTTAAATGTGTTTTTAATTCCACTAAATGTATTACTTACAGGTACATAAAATGGAGTTATACTTGCTCGTTTATTACAATTATACATGTACCTTCTTATTCATAAAAAATAATCTTATATAAACCTATTTTATCTGTTGGAGCGTTTTATCTAGGCATGAGTAATGTGGATACCGATCCGATATGTATATATGATTCCTCTGGACATCTGGATTTTCCTGTCATCCAATATTATTTTTTGGATAACAGACTTTTTACACATTCGTTATTGGACCAGTATATAGTATTTGTGATTAAAATATATGGATATTGCTATATATTATCCACTTTAGTGTTTCTCTCGTTCTTTCAAACTGGTAATGTAAAAAAAATAAGACAAAACACTTCCATACCCAAAACAGGTTTATGAGACATTTGTTGTTTTTATGAATAAAGGGATTAGTCTAAATATGGATTACAGAGCCAAATAAGAGAAGAAGTATACAAAGCGGTAATATAGCTGAGTAATATTAAATTATTGTTTGATATTGATGCTCTTTTCCACTTTGGGTTTTCTGGAAGAGACCTCTTTTAGAGTTAAGCTCGCCTTTGTACATTGGCTTACCCCTGTCATGTGTTTTTGTATTAGTAGTTGTAGTATGTACAATAAAATATAAATAAATGGTTGTGAATTTATATGAAAAATCTTAATTATTATTTTCTGCTCTGCAATAAAGTGACTTCAGTCATAATCAAGAATGGCGAGATATTTTGTAGCCAAGTTATATTTAATACTTGAATCAGGACGTAGAATCGTGTTTTAAGCAGTAAATTGTATCGTAGACAAAACGGTGACTTAAATAATCATAAAATTACTATGAGACCAACACAAGCGTAGACTCTATCATTTGTGAAAATATTTTTCATAATTCACAACTGAATAGCGTAACATAGTCCCAAAAAACAATTCAGAATCTCTCTTTTAAAAAGCGCTTGAAAATTGTAATAAAAACATATTCAACCTACGTTATGACGAAACGCATCGGACGCGTGTGCTCACCGCACGATAGGAAATTAATGTTTTTCCCACTGTCGCCATAACGTGTAAATTATTTGTGGAAGCTAGAAAAAAAGTGGAGCTCGAATGTGTCAACACCAGTGAATTATAGGGGCGGCGTCAAGAACACTAGAGTGAAAACGTCTCCTACAAGTTTTTGTGTGCAAAAGAGATTTTTATGTAGAAAAAAATATCTATTTTTATTCACAAAAATTCGCTTTTTCTCCTTGTAAATTACGATGAGATGTATCATTTATGTATTAACCCTGAATATGGCCCATCATCATCATCATCATCTTGGGCAATATTCGTTTACTGATAAATCATTAAGCTATTTTGAACTCCATATTCGATATTATCTTCAATTAACTGTCAGCAGAAATATACAAAAATATATAAAGTCACTTTTAAAAATTATATTATATGTTGTAAACTTACCACACAATAACTTTTTATTTTAAACTTCACCAGGTCTGCTATAATAGAGAGTTACATTTCACCCGTTTAAATATTTGCGAGTACGGTGACGGACAGACAGCAGATAGGCCACTCTGACCTCGTTAGCAGCCGAGCCGCACAGTCTGCGGGAGGCGTATATTTTTGTACATTTTTAAGTTTAAAATCGATTCTAATTATTCGGGAAAAAAGTTCATTATAAATTTGCATTAATAAAAATGAATCGCTAAATGTGTTGCTATATGCAAAACTCAAGAACGACTGGATCAATTCGGTTAATACTTTTGTAAAATATAGATTCAATTTCTTTGATCTTCGATTCGAAGAAGGTTCTAATGAAGAGAAAAACTGAAAAAAATACTCGAAAAAATATAAAAACCTCATTTTTCTGTCTGAAGTTAACAATTCAAATATTAGAGTTAATATTTCGAGAACAAGACATTTGTCGGGTAAAATAATTAACAATCACATTATTTATCTTTTCACATGGTTACTTATAGCATTTTATCATTGGGGAATTTTGTACTGGCCACGCTGGGCAGGCGAGTGTGCAACCACATTTTAGCTTTTGGTGATGTTTTAAAAGGGACGCTGCTGTCCATCCCTCGACCATTAAGTTTCCTTAGTTGCCTCTTACGACACTCACGAAAAAGGACGGGATAGCCTATTCTACGCCAGGATCACACAACAAATTACAGAGTACGGAAAGGTTATGCCATAGTACTCAGGAGTGGCAATGCATGAAAGCTACTATGAGTATCAAATTTTAATCCGTGATTTCCATTTTTAGTTTCAGCTCCCTATCAGATAGTTCATCAACTTTTCTGACACTAAAACGAAAAAAGAGCCGATTATTAAATTTGTATTTATAGATATTACTTATTAAAAATAATCTGTTAGGTACACTATTATTTATTATTTTTGGTGAAAAATATATATAAGTATGAGTATGTATATATATTTATCATGATATTTAATATTCCTTATTACACTAAAATAGTAATAATAACAATTAGAAATAATGTATGCAAAGATGAACTACACCAAAAGAGATCTCTTCCAGTCAACCTAACACAGTGGCACAGGAAGCAGTGAGTGGGCAGCAGTAGTGCAAAACAGAAATCTAAACAACAATAATAAGTATTTGTATAATTTACAAAACATTATCTATTTTTGAAATTGTTTATATTTGAAAAAAACATCTGGATGAGTGGCGGTCTTCTACTGTGCGTTTTTCGAGACACTTTCTTACACGCACAACTACTCTTTAGAATTATTCTCTAGCAGCAGTATTTCCGAACCGATACGATAACGTAACCTTAAAGAAAAAGCATATTCCGTTTTAAAAGACCGATAGTACATCTGCAATGCCTATTGTGTTACGATTGCTCACGGGCAGCGATAGTCACTTACTATCAGCATTCTCGTTTGCCCTATGTGTTATATATATATATATATATATATATATATATATATATATATATATATATATATATATATATATATATATATATATTTATGTCGTTTGTGGACCAGTGTTGTCAAATCAGGTTAATTAGCATTATGAAGAATTAATCATTAGGTGGCAGAAACAATGGAACGCCAAATACTTCGATTCAAACAAACCTTCTTCGCTTCTCCCACATTCATCAATACAACTTAAAATGGCAAGCATGCTATGTATTATATATATATATATATATATATAAAATCCATCAGATATACCGTCAGCATGCAGCAGCATCAACCATTCCCATTAGTAGATACATGTAAAAATATAGATCATTCGTTTCGATATAATAACAAAGCGTGTTACTACTTCCAAAAATAATATAATAATTACTAAGGTTGTTTTCATCATTTACTGTAATGACGTCAATGCTTTGATTCGTCATTATTTTGAATTGACGGACATAGATAGTAATTTATTCAAGGTCCCATGTTACCATTATTTTCATTATGTTTTATCAATCTCCAAGTGGTGTAAGGTATATGGTCATGGCCATCCCTTTGTTTCGCGTAGGGATCTTAAAAGGTGACTATTAGAACTTAACGGAGGGATGGGCAGAGGTTCCTTTTTGGGGGAGGCCTATATTCAGCAGTAGACAGTGGACGGTTGATATTATTGAATGAAAGTAGGTGCATTGTGTCGTAGCGTCTCTAATACTCTCCCTGAAGAAGACTTTCCGGACGGAGTTGTCAACAATTGTCGGATACAACAAACATAATACCTTCATAAATTTTTTGTTACACGTATATAAATACATTGATAAAAACTGAACGTAATAATAGAGAGATCAGTGTCTAACACTGAGACAGATCCAGATCCTTCAAACTACTAGATTTAAAATATAAAAAAAAAAAAAAACTTGTTTGTTACTTTCAAAAGAAGAAAGTTCTGTTACTTCAATTGCAAACAAAGAGATCAGGTTTTTATGTTTGAACGTCTATTTTTTCTCAACAATATGTAAATTCATTCTATTACTTTATATAGTTTAGTATATTTTTTATATTCTCTATGCTTTATTCAACAAACAATCACTTTATACAAACCGTTCATGTTTTAATATTTGCTATTTTATTGTGCTAACGGAATACAATTTGAACGCTTTTTATACTACATTATGCAAGTTGATGGTCAACCCGATGAAAAGTGGCATCCGAATCGTTAAAATAAATTATAGTGTGATTGAAATATTAATGTGGTACCTTTATTAATTGCTGTTG